CACAACACCAGATGCTCCTGTTGGCTGCGGTGTCCCCTGGGCATGTGCCTTGATGTCTCTACGTGTTCGGCAGTTCCTGCACACTCAGCTCATTTCCTGGCTATTGTAGTAAGCACCACCATGAACACAGGTGTACAAATTTCCTTTTTTAAATTTTTTTTTTTGACCAGGGTGAGGGGAGCACACCTGTTGGTGCTCAGGGCTTACTCATAGCTTCACACTCAAGGATCACTGCTGGCAGGCTTGGGGAACCATCTGGGGTGGGCCCTACTCACTGTACAGTTGATTCAGTCCCTGCAAATATCTTTCCAAATGAATGCTTTTGTGTCAACACTGGATGTTTCTAGTGTTTCCGACAGATGCCGTTCTCTCTGTAAGTTGAAATCTTACTGTCATTTGATTTGCATCTGCCTGATAATCAGTGACAGTGAACGCTTTTTCATCTGCCTATTGACACATGTGTCCTCCTCAAGGTAAGACTGTTCTCCCTCTGCCTGTTCTTTGGTAGGGTTATTGGGTGTCTGTTCTTGAGCTCGGGAAGTGCTTTATTTATCTTGGCTATCAGCCCTTCATCTGATGGATTCAGTGCTAATGTTTTCTCCCAATCAGTGGGGTGTCTATTTTTGCCTGAGTTCCTTTTGCCAAACAAACCTTTTAAATCTGATGTAAACACAATTATGTGTTTGTTTATTTTCATCCTTGTCACTGGAGTGACTGGAGTCAAATCACCAAAGACACCTCTGAAGTCCTTATCCTGAAGGGTCCTGCTGTGCTCAAGGCACTTCATGGATGCTGTCCAGTCTCAGGATATTTCAGACGCCTTCACTTACTTCTCTGTGGCTGCTGTGAGATGTAGGTCCGGTTTCATTAGTGCATAAGGGTATCTAGTTCTCCCAGTACCGTTTCCTAGTACTCCCCAGCTCTTTTGTCGTACATTGGCCATCCAGAAATCTGATGGTCTCTCTTTGGGCTCTAACTCTGTGGCATTAGCCTGAGACCTTTATTTTAGTACCATACCACTTTTTATTAAAATAGTTTTGTTTTTAATTTTTTTTTATTGATTACAACAGTAACGTCTCCATTGGAGACTTTGTTGTTACTGTGTCTGGCATATCCAGTACTCTCGGTAGCTTGCCGGGCTCTCCGAGAGGGGCGGAGGAATTGAACTCGGGTCGGCCATGTTGGCCGCTTGTAAGGCGAACGCCCTACCCGCTGTGCTATCGCTCCAGCCTTATAGTACAGTGAAAACCCAGGAAATGGCAGCAACTTCTCTTCTTCTTCCTCCTCCTCCTTCTTCTTTTATTTGGTGCATTTTGTTTCCACACAAATTTTAGTAGATGTTGAATCTTCCCAAGGGCTTTCTCTGAATCAACTGATATAATCACATGACTTTCATCTTTTCTTTTGTTGACATGGTATATTACAATAATTGATCTGTGTATGTCGAACCATCCTTGCATCCCTAGATGAGTCTCATTCTGGTGTAGTATATTATTCTTTTGATATGATGCTGGGTTTGATTCTCTAAGAGTTTCTTGAGGACCCTTGAGTTGATGTTCATCAGAGAGACTGGTCTAAAATGTCCCTTTTTAACAATAGCTCTGTTTTTTGTATTCAGGTAACGCTGGTTTTGTAGACACTGTGAAGGGTTCTAATTGTTCTGATATTTTGCAAGTAATGATCCTTTGAAGGTTTGGCAGAACTCCCTTGTAAGCCTGCCTGGACCTAACCTTCTCTTTTCTGGGAAAATTTTAATCATTGTTTCAATTTTTTTTATAGTGATTGATCTTTTCAGGTCTTCCGCCTGATTGGGAGCTGTATGACTTTTGAAAGCTCCACGAGCTTCCAGAAGAGGGATACCTCCAGGCCTGAACCGCGCTGCCCCTGAGCCTAGCTGCACTGCTGTTGGCCTCTTGGCGGGTCTCATTATTTTCAGGAGCCAGTGTTGGAATTGAGAGAGAGCAGTGGGGCTCTGAAGACAAGTTGTACAATGACAGAACTGAAATCAGTTCGGAATTCGATTAACTTGCTGGTGTACTAGATTTACAGGTGAATTGGTCCGGGGGCCAGGGTGGCTGGCCTTGTAGGGTCGGGTAGAGCTGGTCCTCTGGCACCAGCTGCCATGTGCCCTTCTTGCTCTGGTGAAGCCCTGGGCTCTTCCTGGCGATTTCCTGAACCCTGGCAAACCAAGGAAGGACCACATGTACTGAAGATGGTTGGTCAGAGAACTGGTTTTCCTAATATTCGAATTCCTTTCGAAGTGTTTGTAGCTTTTAAATAGTTATTTGTTCTTACACATATTTATCTCCATTGCTTCATCCTTAGGTAGAGTTATGCTTTATTTACTTTTTATTTTTATTTGTTTATTTTTGCTTTTGGGTCACACCCAGCGATGCACAGGGGCTACTCCTGGCTCTGCACTCAGGAATCACTCCTGGCGGTGCTCAGGGAGGCTGGGAATCGAACCCAGGTTGGCCGTGTGCAAGGCAAACACCCTACCCACTGTGCTATCGCTCCAACCCCTAGAGTTACGTTTTAGACAAAGCTATCTAATTGGCAGTTGCATGTTGATTTACGTAGGCACTCCCACATGTAGTAACGTGATTACTTTTGGTTGTGTATTGAAAATAATGTTTTTAAAAGTGAAGCCCTAGGCTGGAGAGATAGTACAGGTGTAGGGTGTTTGCTTTACCTGCGGCTGACCCTCATTTGATCCCTGGCATCCTGTATGGTCCCCCAGAGCACCGCCAGAAATGATTCCTGAGTGCAGGGCCAGGAATAACCCTGAGCATTACCAGGTGTGGTTCTCCCCCTACCAAACAAACGACAACAACAACAACAACAACAACACCCCCTCCCCAAAACCCAAAAAGCGAAGCCCCGGGCAGGGGGCAGACTCAGAGAGCCAAGTGCAGGTTTGGATGCCAGAGGTCTGGGGTTCATCCTGGCATGGATGCGCCACCAGAGGCGACTCCAAGCACCGAGCTGGGAATAGCTCTTGAGCACCTGTGGGTGGGCCCCCAAAAGAAAAGAGAACAAGTGAAAAATACAAGAATGGCCATGTGGCTCTCATCACTGTCCACCTCCGCATCTGGGCTCTCAGTTCTTACCTCCACTCTTTGGACGGTACGTGGGGTTTATCCCGAACCCCATCTTACTTTGTTGGTACAGTATTTCTTGAGCAGTATTTGGAGGATTTCCTTCTTCTTTCTTCTCTTTTTATTCAAACCAGCGGTGGGGACCAACCCCAAGCCGCACGTCCTTTGCCAGCTGAGCTGCCTGTCCACTCTTAAGTGACTCCTTCAGTTTGTTGGAACTGGGCCATCCCCCGAGAGCAGAAGAGGAAGAGCATGCAGCCGTGACTGTTCGGAAGTGGTTTACGGGGGACTTGGTGCTGTGCTGGGGGCTGGTCAACCACAATCACAGGAGAATGTTTCATGCCCCAAATTGCTCCTGGGGTGTCAAGACATCTGTGTTACGAATCACTGCATGCCGGGGTTCCTCTGAACTGTAGTTTGGGCAGCACTATGCCACTCGGTCCTAACTCCAAAAGGAATTTTGTTCGTTTGTCTTTGTTTTGGGGCCACACCTGGAGCTGCGCAAGGCTTACTCTGGGCTCTGTGCTCAGGATCACTCCTGGTGGGCTCAGGGGATCAAACCCAGGGTTAGTCACGTGCAAGACGAGTGCCTTACCCGCTGTACTGTTGCTCCGCCCATGAAGGGGAATTTTTAACGAAGTCCGAACAATTGCCATACCAGCATGGATGCAGAGCAGCCTGGGCGCTTGGCGCTGTGGGTATTCCAACAGGCTGAATATTTTTACCACAAAGGGGGGCAGGAGCCTCTAGCTACTCTCGAGCAATACCAGATTTCCTCTTTAGCAGCCCAACATTTGCTCGGTGCAACCCACTGGCTAGCTCTGCACACGGCTGGCCCGAGCAGGAATAAAGCTCCTACTGTGAGAATTCCGCCCCGCTCTGCACACATGGAGACCCTCTGGACAGCTCTGAGTCACATGGCGCGGGACACCCAGAGCGTGCACGTGCGTGTGTGTGGCACATACACACAATCGCCTTCTGATCTGCACAGGGCGGGCAATCTCCGGGGCACAATGGTGCAGAAGGGTAGCAGGCGGACACACGTGGCCACATGCGCTTCTCGGTGCAGCCGCCGCTTCCGGCCAGCTAGGACGCGGTAAGGTTCTCTCCCCGTGGCAAGGGTCCAGCACCTGCGCTCCCGGGCTGGACAGCCCCTCAAGCTGGAGCTGCAGCTTTCCCGAGAACCACCCAGCTGGCAGGAGCAGGCCAGGTGGGGCGGAAGTAAAGGGGCTGTGCGGGTGCAGCCAGGCCCCCGTGGGCGCCTCACGGGGCGGAGAGGGGCTGGTGGGGGTGGCCCTGGCCGGCCTCGGCTCAGAAGGGGAGGCCGGGCTGGGGCCGCGCCTGCCCCGCGACACCCCGGGTCGCCCACTGCGTCCGCAGCCCCCGGGCCGGGCGGTGGGCCCGGGAGATGGGCCGCGGCAGAGCCCGTGGGCGGGCCCAGCGCACCTGGGGCGGGCGGGCTCGCTCCGAACCCGGCGCCGTCGGAACCGGCCCGGCCCGGCCCGAGCTCGGCGCCTCGCACCTGCGCCCTCGAGACCGGCGCGGTCCGAGCCCGTCCCGAGCCGACCCCGAGCGGTTCGGCCCGGCCCGGCCCCGCGGGCGCGGCGGCGCGGCACCTGCCGGCGGCGGCGGCACCTCGGCGGGCGCGCGCGGCGGCGCGGGGGCGCGCGCGGCGGCGCGGCGGCGCGCACGGCGCGGGGCGCGCACGGCGCGGGGCGGGGCTGCGCCCGGACTCACCGGCCGGCGGGCGCGGGCCGCGGAGCCGAGGCGGCCGGCGGCGGGCGGCGGCGGCGGGCGCGGGCGGCGGCGGCGGCGGGCGAGCGGGCGGGCGAGCGGCGGGGCGCGGGGGGCGCGGGGGCGCCGAGCGGCGGCGAGGGCGGCGGGGGCCGGGCCCGCCGAGCGCGAGCGCGCGGGGCCGCCGGCCCGGCCCGCCCGAGCCCCCGCGGCGCCCGGCCCGGAGGCGCGGCCGGGAGGATGTCGGCGGGCGGCCGCGACGAGGAGCGGCGGAAGCTGGCGGACATCATCCAGCACTGGAACGCCAACCGGCTCGACCTGTTCGAGATCAGCCAGCCCACCGAGGTGGGCGCGGGCGCGGGCGCGGGCGGGGGAGGGGGCTGCTCCCCGCTCCCCGCGGGCGCCGCTCGGGGGGTCTCCTCGCAGGGTCTCTCCTTGACTGGGGCCCTGGCTGGGCCTCTCCTCGCAGGGGTCTCTCCTCAGCCGGGTTTCCCCTCACCGGGTCTCTCCTGGCTGGGGTCTCTCCTCACGGGAATTTCTCCTCAGCCGGGTTTCCCCTCAGCCGGGTCTCCCCTCAGCCGGGTCTCTCCCCACAGAGATCTCACCTCACCGGGGTCTCTCCTCGCGGGGCTCGCCCCCCACCCGCGTCTCGCCTCACGCGGGGGCTCCCCTCAGGGGCGCGCGGCGGCGGGAGCCCGAGCCGGCCGCGCGAGGTGCGCGCAGCTCGGGGCCGTGGGCAGCGCGGACCTTTGTCGCCGCGAGCATGTGACCCCAGGCCGGCGCGGGGGAGCCGGGAGGCGGCGGCCGGCCGGGCGGTATCTGCGAGCCGGCGGCGGCGGCGACGGCGCGACCTGCTGATAAGGGGCGCCCCTCCCCCCGCCTCCCCTGCCCCGCGCCGCGCCGCGCCGGGACCGGGGGCGCCGCCCCTCCCCCCCCCCCCCCCCGCCGCCGCGCCCGGAGGAAACGGCCCTCGCGGCCGGCCGGCGAGGACAATGGGCGGGGGCGCGGGGACCCGCCTCGGCCGGACGCGCGGGGGGCGCCGGGGGTCCCCGGAGACGCCCCCCACCCCTCCCCGGGCGTCCCCAGCCGGGCGCGGGGCGCACTGGCCGCGTGGGGTGGCGCGCCCGCGGTCCCGGGGGTGTCGCCGCGAGGGTGGTGGGCGTGCGCCCCCCGCCCCCCCTCCCCCCCACGCCCCCTCCCCGCCGACGGCCGCGCGCGGAGCCCCCCGGGCGAGCCCGCCCTGCCGAGCGAGCGAGCGAGCGCCTTTGCCTCGTCGCCGCTTCGAGGGGGACTCGGAGGTGGACTGTCCCCCCGGAGCGTGGCCCGTCGGCCTCGCGTCCCCAGCGCGGCTCTTGTTGACGGCCGGCCGATCAATCGATCGGGCGATCGATTATGCGGGATTTCACGCTGATCAGGACGGATCCGAGCGCGCCCGGTCGAGGGTCTTAGACCGGCGTCGCGGGGTTTCCCTGAGGGGAGCAGCCGCCCCTTGGCAGGTGCTGAGGGAAGCGGGGGAGGGAGGGCGGGCGGCGGCCCTGCCGGGGGCTTCTCAGGAGGCGCTGCGGGGGCTGCCGGGTCCCTCTGGCCTCGGGCGCTCTGCCTCCCTGAGAGGAGAGGCGGGCTCCGGCCCTGTGGGGACACGCCTGTGGCCTGGCCATGCCCCCGCCCCCCTCAGGCCTCGACCGTCGGCCCTTCTGGCGGTCAGCTGCAGAATTTGGTTGAGGGTAGCCAGGCCCGGGCCAGACAGTCTTCCACCTCGGGGGCCTTCCCGGGCGGTGTGACGCCTCCCTCCAGAGCCACATCAGCAGTGCCAGGGCTGGAGCCCAGGGTCCACGCGGGCCAGGTGTGGTGCCCGCCCCGGAGCCCTTTCCCGGTGTGGAGCATTTGGGGGTCCTGTGTGAGAATCTCCTCGGCCTTGGCGCGTTGGTCAGCACCGGCATGTCTCACGCAGTGTATTTTCCACCTGGTGCATCCTGTTGGGGTTTCCGTGTCTGTGTCTCTTGGGACTACCTGGACATTTTTGGGGGGGCCCACCCCTGCCAGTGCTCAGGGCTTTACTCCTGGTTCTGCACTCAGGGATCACCCCTTGCTGGACTCAGAGACCATGGGGGTCCTGGGGAGCGAACCTAGGTCAGTGGCAGGTGTCTGGCCTCCTGTGCCATGATTATGGCTCCGTCTCCCGTCCGAGCTCTTAAGAAAACTAGATTTTCAGTCGGTCGGTCCAGTGCCTTTCCCCTTTCCCTCTTGGTATTTGTGAGTCAAGGAGGGTTCCCAGGGAGCTGCCAATTATGCTTTATCGTTGCCTGTTTCTCACCCTGTCCTTGGATCCCCACTGCCTGTGGAACTTTCAGATGGGCTGATGGGCACATGGAAGGTGGGTGCGTTGTCCCCAGGGGACGACACATCAAGCTGCGTATCTTGACTGCTGTGGAAAACTGTAGCTCCTAATGAGGGCTTCGGAGCGCTCTTTAGCCCTGTCCTGTTTTTATTTTTAATTACAAGGCTTACCGCTCCTGGGATTTCTGATTTTTTATTAAGGTAGAGGGCTTGTGGCTAATCTTTTCCGTCCATGGCCTCCCAGGGAGAGGGCCCCGAAGTTCCCCCTAGGCTCTCTGGTTTGGGTGGGTCCTTCCTTCTGTCTGTCTCCCTGGTGACACCAAGCCAGAGCAGTTGTCACCGGTCCAGTCTCTGCTGCAGGCAGAGGGTGGAAGGAGGCAGACGCCAATCGTGGTGTGGCCCAAGCTGGGTGCGTTCGTTCTGCAGCTTTATTCCGGACTGGCTGGCTCTTTCTTGTGGCATTTCTGCCACTTTATTCTTGACTGGCCGGGCCTGTCTCTTCCCAAGCTCAGTGACGCTGTCTGCTAAACTGGTTAGAGGTAGGCCTTTCTGTTTTAAGATTATGCGTAAAGCTCACATCCAAATGCAGAAACCCTGCTCAGAGGTTGACTAGTTAGTTCACTTCCTGAGATAGTTCTTTTTTGTTTTTGGGTCACACCGGGCATGCTCAGGGCTTGCTTCTGGCTCTGCCCTCAGGGATCACTCCTGGTGGGCTGGGGGGATCCTATGGGGTGCCGTCAGTTCTGTGCAAGGCAAACGCCTTCCCTGCTGTGCTATCGCTCTAGTCCCCTGAGATGGTTCTTAAAGCCACTTGTTTCTTACTCTGTTTATTGCTTTGGCATTTTAACTGATGGGAAAAAGGAACTGGGAGCTTGTGTGGACGCCCACACCTGCTTTATTAAAGGTGACAGTGCTATATTTGAGTACTCCGTACCTGGAGAAGTCGGTGGTGATTCATGCCGCCCAGAGGCGTGTGTAAAAATGGCTTCTGGCCTGCCAGCGGGCGGAGTAGGAAGTTTGCAGGTGAGTGTGTGTGTCAGGATTGCGCAAGCAGGGTGCCCTCCGCATTCCACACACAGGCTGTGGCTGAGACAGCTTTAGCATGCAGCTTGATTACATTTGTTCCTGGCCTTTCCTTTTTAACATTTTCATTACATATTTCATGTCCTCTAGCAATTAGGTAAATTAATGTTTGGGTGGGTGTGTGCCTGTGAGTCTAACCTTGTTTGACTGTCTCCTGTGGAAACTCCATAGACTAGATTCCACCTGTTCTCCCGTTACGGGAAATAGGCTGTTCTCTGGCACGAGATGGAATGGAACGTAAGGGCCACCACCGTGTGCCTCGCTGTTGCTCGGGGCTCAGGGCTTGTGGTGGAAGAGGAGAGGAGGACACACTCTTGGGTTTCTTGCAAGGTACAAGTGACAGAGTCAAGATCTGGTGGCCAGTAGGTGGGTGCTAAGGACAAGCACAGGCTCACCTCCTGAATGAAGGCTCATGGCACTGTGGGGGGCATGCTGTTCCCAGTGGTGCTTAGAGCTCTGGGACACAGGAATTCGCTTGTGGACAGAGTGGTAAGTCTTCCCGTTGGGCATATTGTCAGGAACTACTAAGAGAGAAATTGTTTTCATATAAGCCTGCTTGATTTTAAGGAAAATGGCCATCGAATAATATTTATTGAACGTTGATCACTTTATCGATAGTTGATTTTTCCTGTTAGGTAGAGTCTGTTGACTTGTTCTGAAGTTTGCTGCTTCCGAAGGTTCTTCTTGGGTGTGTAAACCCCCTTCCAGGAGGTTGGAGAGAGAACTCCAGGGGCTGAGTGTTGCTTTGCTTGCAGGGGGCTTGGGTTCAGTTCCTGGTACTACAAGGCCCCTAGAGCACCGCTGAGAGTGACCCCTGAATACAGAGTACGGAGCATCCCCTGATCCCTGCCAGGAGTGGCCAAAATCTCAGACAAAATTAACCAACACAGTAACAGACCAGCATAAATCTGTCCCCGTCACCCAGTGAGCCACTGTGTTCCCCAGGAAGACTGGTGACTTCCTGGTTCTCTCACTGGAGGGACTGACCCCAGTGCTCAGGCCCCAGGAAATGCTGTGTCCTTATTCCGGTATTGGGGTGTCTGGGGCATAAAAGGGCTGATGGGCTGTTGTGTTCACTTGCGGGCTTTGTTAATAGGAAATTAGACTTGTGCCTACACCGCAAGCCTCAGGTTGTTTTCTCTTCGCTCTTGCTGCTGGTGGTGGTTCTTTCCCCGCTGATCCTCTCCCTCTCGCCTGAGTTCTGCAGGACGACTAACAATGTGCCCCTCTTTTAACACTCTGTGTTATCTTTCTTGCTTTGGTGTCGAGACTCGTCAGCTCCCTCTTGCTTGCCTCTGGTCTTGTGTGTTGACCAGAGAAGAGGAGGGATGGTCCCTCAGACCTGTCTTTGCGCCTTTCTGCTGGTCTGTGCACTGGGAAAGGTCTTCCCAGTAGATGATCTTAGGCACAGGCTGATTTTACTACAGTGAATGTCTGGTTGCTTCTAACTTCGCGAGCACTGCTGCTCATTTTCTGTCAGTCCATGACTGTCCCCTGCAATTTCATGCATGTCACAGCGAATTCAGTGCGGGCATTCTATTCTGGATGTGGTTTTATTTATTTTTTTAACCACTTAATTGAGTTACCAGGATCGGTAGAACTGTTGATCATACTTCTCATCATGCATCGTTTCTGTGTGCTTTGGGCATTGCTTGAGTTTGGAGCCAGGTGTGGTTGCACTGGCATTGAAGAGGCATTTGCCAGTAAGGACAGTAGGAAGCGGTGGCTGAGGGTTTGGCCTTGTGCCTCACACTGTGTTTCCCGGTTTGGGGTGCCAGCTGGGCAGAGACTGTCCACCTCTAGCTCCTCCAGGATTAAAATATGCTTATTAATCCTTGCGCTACCCTAGGGTGTGCCGTCACCTTAATGTGCGGTTTCCAGATTTCTAAAACCATTGGACTCTCATGTTGGTATCATTGGATAAG